TATTGGTGCAGAAGTTTGCAACGTTGTCCAGATGTGTTTACCTTTTATTTTCTGTTTAACTACTTTGATTCTTAGTACTATAATTTTGCTAAAACTCACTCCCAAATCAACATTAGTTTTTTTTTTTTTTTTTTTTTTTTTTTTTTTTTTTTTTAAAAAAAAATATTGTTTTTCTGTCTAGAAGTGCAACTGATTTAGGGTGATTGGTCATAAAATAAATCAGTTATTTATAGTCGGATATTTTGTTTTTAGTATTTTTTAACTCAAATTGCAAATTAAATTTAATTCAATTCAACTTTATTTAATATTATAATTAAATATTATTAAATAATATTAATAAATTATCTTATGCATAATATCAACTTTTATTCAATGTTCAGTCACTCAAATAATTTTAACTACTCATGATTTACAATTTGTTCTCTCAAACTTTTAGATTAATCGACTTTACTCGTTACATTTTAATTCTCCTATATATTTATTCGAAACGTGTTGAGTTTAAGTTCTAAGGGTGACCCGGTTGGGTAAGGAGTTTGGTTCGGCGAAGGGTCCAGTTAACCACTTGTTGGAGTTTTTAAGTTATTTTCTCGAGATGGGCCTATTTCTTTTTGGCGGGTCATCTTTAGGTGTCGGGTTGTCATTTGTGTGGTTGTTTGTTTCCAGTTGGAGGACTTTATTCTAGCATTTCTGGTGTTTGTGTGTGGGTTTTTTTCTTTTAGTAGCCTTGTCGGTTGTTTTTATTTTATTTTTCTTGTTGAAGTTTGATTCTTTCCCCGTGGGAAGGTATAGTTTATTAGTATAGTGGGTGAGTTAGCGTAGTTCTGATGTCTACTTTGTGTAGGCCTCTCCTGGATTCGCCATGATGACTGATTGGCTCATTCTAGTCGTCGTAGTTGTAATTACGTGTTTTATCTTTAAAAATTTATCATTTAAAAAAAAATATCTTTATAGTTTATGATCATTTAATAAATTTTATAAATAGTACCATTTGAGATATCATAAAAAAAAAACTACTAAATGGTTATGCATCCATGTGAGTGTATTATAAATAAATTGTTTAATATAAATAATAAATAACACACACACACACACACACATATATATATATATAATCAGTGTTTAAAAAACCGTACCGTACCGGCCGGTAATACCGGTATTACCGGTTACCGGCCTTAGGTGCGGTACAAAAACACACAAAATACCGGATTTTCGGTAATACCGTTTTGTACCGGTATTGTACCGTAAATACCGGGAAAAACCGGTCCAAAATACCGGCCATGAAAAAAAAAATTGAAAAAAAAATAAAAAATATTTTTTTTTTAATTTAAAAACATAAAATTTAAATTGGTAGTTAGAATGTTTTATTTTATTTCATTGGTAAGTTAAAATTAATGATTATGATCATTTATTTTTTATTTTTTTTGTATTTGGTATTATATATTTTTATAAATAAATATATATATTATTATATTTGCTAGTCCGGTAATACCACCGATATTACCGGTCGTACCGGTAATACCGCGTACCGGTGGGTAGACCGGTATGGCCACCGGTACGGTATTTAAAACACTGTATATAATAATCATATATAGTAATAATTAAAACATCCAATTAAAGTACATATATGCATATATATATATATATATATATATATATATATATAAATATATATATATATACACACACACTTATACCATTGTAAAATACAAAAAACTCTTAAAAACCCATTCGTAAATTCAATAAATTTAAATCATTAGTTAGTTTGAAAAAAAAAAAAAAATCATTAGTTAACTTAATTTTTAAAGTACAATTTTAACATTTTATTTTTCTAAGTTAACATTTATATAAATATAAAAATGTTTGGCATTTACCTAAAAAAGTAACTATTTTCCCGCCTAAACAATTCAAATTTACTAATCTTGGTAAATTTTTTCACATTTTTTGAAAAATCCCGCCTTTACATCATTAAATTCAAAATTTAAATTTTTTTTGATGTAAATGTAGAAGTTTTTGGAATGCTTCACTTACATGATTTTTTTTTTCATCTAAAAACATAATTTACATATATTAGAATATTAACAAAGATTGTCTTTTTGTTTCTTAATTTTATGTAAGGTGCATTTAATATAACAGAATATAAACAAAAATTAATTTTTCATTTTATTTTTTTAAATACGTAAGCTTAGTTTTTTTCCGTTTATAAAGATTTAGTGTCTTTTTGTTTCTTAATTTACATGATTTTTTTTTACATAATAGAATATAATGTAAGTTTCCATCTAAATACATGTTTTATAAAATTTTAAATTTTATATAACATTTTCAATAAATTAATGAAAAATGCTACATGTACATAATAAATATACATAAAGATGTACATAACACTCACATGGAGTGGGGTCCACTTGATTTTTAAATTTTAGTGGGTCCCACTCAATGTGAGTGTTATGTACACCTCTACCTACAACATTATGTACCTATAGCATTGCTCAAATTAATATAGGTAAAATGTACTACATATAGATACATATTTTTAATTTATAAATATTATTTAATGAGTAATCTATATCTATGTAAAAAAGTTTGGTATTTACCGGAAATATTAATTAAAATCTCGCAAAAAATTCAAATTTACCTTTATTAGTAACTTTTTAAATATTTTTGAAAAATGGCGGCAATTCATTTGAAATTAAAATTAAAAAATCAATGTAAGGAATATACAAAATCATTTTGGTCAAATATTGTGGGTATTTACCTTTATTAGTTGAGTATCTAATTTTATAGAAACAATTAAACTGACATAACTTTGTATGATCAAAACCAATATCCTCAATCTAAGTACACTTTCAATTTTAAACAGTACGGATTAACATACAACTATGGTAATTTAACAAAAGTGCACCAGTCCTATAAGATAAAAATCGTGAGTGTAACTTACAGTAAATAACGAAGAGATAGGGACAAGTATCATTGGAAATGTCACTAATAAAATTGAAAAATAAAAATTATATAAAAGTTATTATTATATACTTTTAATAAAAATTATTACCTATAATAAAAATAAAAAGTATATTGTGCATATATTGTGTATTAATAAAATATATTAATAAAAATATTAAAAAAGTAAAAGAAAAAAAAAATGTTTCTAGAAATTTGACAAGTCTCTCTACACTTTATAGTATGCAATCAATTTATTTAAGTCATACATATCCTAAATCACAACATATATTGAGATTATATAGCCCAGAACAAGTCATATGAAATCTTTATATATATGTTGTATAATAAACACCAACTATTTTTTTATTGCACATATGTATTTACATGTTATATGATCCATCTAACTTTAATTATTAATTAGAATATTATATTTGTTTTATTATATAATTCATAGAGATAATTTAAATAAATATTTGTACAATAAGTTGAGAATAAACAAAATTATTCATGTTAATTGATTTTAACTCATTATTTTAAACACGTTAATAAAAAAAGGTAATGGTAACACAAATCTAGGATTACTGTTAATTTTTTTTTTTACAAAAATAAAATATAAATATATATTCAAATTTAACAAAACATTATTAAATTATGAATTTTGATAATACGAAACTTATATAGATAAACACGATATATATTTATATATATATCATGCATTAAATTGGTTGATATCTTATCGCAATATCTATTTCTTTCCTTCTAAAAAAATGAATAATTTAATTATTTTTTAACAAATCAGTATTTGAAATTTTTAGCCCTACCTAGCGCACGGGTTTTCGCTTATTGTAATATCTCCTTAAAAGCCATTCAAATTGAATTTGGATATCTTATAAAGCTTTAAAACATTTATAATGTAATTCGTCGTGTTTTGGTTCTTATACTACGTAGCGTAAATATTTTTTTTTTTGTTGCGTAAATTATAAGAGTATATTAGTTTGTTAAAATATCAAAATATTGGCATATAATAAATTTGGGTAGTTAATTTAAAAAATTATCTTAATACATAATATATGACAATAAATTTTAAAATAAAATAATAGTTGAGTATTATAATGAATAAAAATAGGGTGATTTTATTTTGGTGTGAAATGTCCCAATTTAAATTGTTTGAATTTCATTTGGTATAAATAAAAGTGTATTTGGAAATTTTGAAAACAAAATAAGTGGTGAATTTATTTAGTATGTGTATGAAAGTTGAATTTTAGGTTGATTTGTTATAAAATCAAGGTGATATGATTCTCAATTTTAGCATATTACCATAATAACCAGTCATAAGATATTTATTATAATTCGGCAAATTGGTATTTATTCCTATTGAAAATTATAAAGATCTTTGAGCAAATATTTGTTAATAAAATTTAAAATTTGTAATTTAATTGTAGAGATTTAGTTGATTAACTTGAATGGCAAGATTACAAACAACAAATCTAGAAAATTTCGAGATTA